ATGCAATAACACCTGCTCGTTTTGTATTGCGTGGCAGAGAACACAAGTTTTTGTCATCAACAGTGATGGTTCATCTTCGGTTTGCGTTGCAACAAGTTTTATTTTTTCTCTTCGGTTTGGTTTGGGACACTCTTTTGCAAATGACCATATTCATTACAATTGAAACACTTAACCTTGGATTTTTTGAAGTTACGTGGCTTTCGGTCTTCACCTCGACCTCCACCATATCTACGCCCACGACCACGTCCTCTCCCATGACGTCCTCCTTTTTTGTTGTTGTTGGAACCTTCATCTTTCTTTGCCTTTGGGATTCTTGCCTCCCACTCGGCCTGGGTAAGAAGTAACTGTTCTCCACTACCCTTTGAGTGCAGTCGCCCTTTAAGCCCTTCCTTGAAGGTTCTGAGACGACCTATCGTCTCGGATACCGGCATCTTCTCAGTATCGCCAAATTGTTCGATTGTTCCAATAATTTGGAGAAATCTATCTGGAACTGCACTGAACAATTTTTCAACAACTTCACTGTCGTCGAACTTCGTGCCCAGTGAGCGGATCTCACCCACCAGCGTGGTAAGCTTCATGGAAAATTCGTTTATTGTCTCTGAATCCTCCATGTGTAACTTGTTCAGTTATCGTTTCAGAACCTGTACGCGTGCCTTCTTAACGCACCGACTCGCATCTCCCTGAGTGCGTCCCAAGCCTCCTTTGCCGTCTTTTTCTCCGCGATTACCATCATCACGTCATCCGGCACGGCTTGAGAAATGGCTACCATGGCGCCTTGATCTTTGTCATCGTCTTTTTCTTCACCTTTAATCACTGACCATACTCCTAGTGAACGCAAGATTATCATCATCTTGACAGCCCATATGCTGTAGTTCGTTTCACTTAACGTTGGAAATTGGCTCGGGGTTGAGGCTCCTCTTGCCATCGGTTTGATGACAACAAGTGTCTTAGATGGATCTTCATCATTTCCGGCCATTTCTTTGACACCTTCGCTCTGATACCAAATATTGGTTTTCAAAGTCAAACTTTAAACACCAACATTAAATGGAGAAATTTTTTTAGTACTTCACACATATTACATTTTCTGGTTTTCTTAATATATAAGCAAATACAAATAACTACACATCACATTTTTCTGAAAATAAAAACTAACCAACCCCCCAACGGTTTTCCTAACCACCTAACCGCAAGACGGTTTTCATAACCTCCTAATTCACATGAAAAATGTGCAAAAATACATAAACAATTTCTAGAGACAACTAGATTAACACAACAAGCCATACGTAATATGATGCTAAATAATTCTAAAAAAAATTAAATTAATATATTAATATTTCTTGATTGGATGGCATCACTAATTATATAATTACTCTAAATATTCAGAATATAAGACAATATATTATATTTTTTTTTATCATTATATATTTTTTCTACATTAATAAATTATTTTTTTTTTTAATTATTAATTTAGGGTTTAGGGTTTAGGGTTTAAGGTTTAGGGTTTATATTTTTTTTAATTATTAATCAGAAACATTTTAAAAGGCTGATTATTGTCTTGTTTTGAAAATTTTCTAACTTCGTCATTAAAAATTTTGAATAAATAGCACTAATAAATTCATACTGACAAATTACAATTTTGAGGGCAGCTTCCATCGTCCAATAAATACTAAAAATAATATTGTAATACATAACAACGCTCCTTGACTCGTAGCCACTAGATCTTTATAAATGGAGGAGAACTAATAATTATAATTCTTTTATGGTTGACTGTGCTATCGTTGAAGAATCTCGTCACGTTTAGAGTTTGTTTAGGGGAGTTATAGCTTATTGAATAATTTGCTGATAAACTGATTAAAAATAATCAGCTGATAAATTAGGCACGATAGCTCCTACAAATTTTTATTTTCTTAGAAAAGCTAGACCGCAGCAAAAGCTGCCACCGCACCTATCTAAAACGTTGTTTTTAATGTTTAGAAAACGCATAAGCTATCATAACGAAGTTTACCCAAACAGATCAGGTGCGTTTTCAAAACGCTACCGCACCAAATAAGCTGCCCCAAATTGACACTTAATTTTACTTCATTTGTTTTAAAAAAAATTTATAAAAAAACAAATTTACTATTCTTAAAAAAAAGAAATAGAATGATGGGAGGAATTGTTGGCCATGAAGATTTCTTAATTATTGAAATTATGGGCTGGGACTATGGCTGTCAAAAAAGCTAGTTGTTCGCGAACAGTTCGTGTTCGGTCCGTCAATGAGTTCGTGTTTGATTCGTTCGATA